GGGGGGGGTTGAAAAGGACGAGAAGCCATCATGCGGTCGATGCCACAGGGGGCACGCGCAACGTACGTCTTCAACGGTTGTGGCTTCGGTCCGTGTGTCGTCTGTCGGCGTCACCATCCTCCTGGCGCCAGCCTGCGAGCTCGTCAGCCTATAAGAACACGCCATCTGCCAGTTAACCAGCCAGCCAGCCATGCGGCAACAACAGCTGATCCAACGCCCACGCCCAGCCCCACCCTACCACCAGGTAGCACCCAGCTCCTCCACACCCAGTCACAGATCCCTGGTGCACCCAGTCACAACCCCCTTTCCGAGAACCATCAAGACATGCACAGCAGACGACCAGTCGACCCAAGGTCACGCACTGGCCCAGGCACAGGCACGTACCCGCCCCCTTTCTTGACAAGAGAGATCCAACAGGGTGTTTCTTTCCTGCATGCGCAAAAGAGAGATAAAACAAAAGAATGAGGAGAGAGAACAAAGAGAGAGAGAGAGGAAGAGAGAGAGAGAACAAAGAAACAAATTCGGTTTGGTCGGAGAAACAAAGAGAGAGAGAAAGCACAAAGAAAGAGAAGAAGAGAGAACAAAGGAACTTGTTCTCTCTCTCTTTACATGTGGTAATTATGCCTCTTCTCCTCCGTGGGGACGCTTGTCAAGTGTTGATGTCAGATGTTTTTATTCTTTCTCTTGCTCTCCAAAAAAAAAAAGCAATCTCGCTGTGTCCATTGGCTCGATCGCTCGAGTGCTGGATGCAGTGCAGTGCGTCGCCCGGGGGTGCAGGCGTGGTCTTGCTCGGTGACTGCGAAAGGCCCATCGCGCCTGAGCTTGGAGGGAACGGGCAGCCCAAGGGCTTGGACTCGTGGACAACGCTGAACCATCTAAACAGAAAATCAAAGTCACACTGGCGGGATCAGCACGTGGTGGCCCCGCTGTTGTGCTTGCTGATGGACAGCCTCTCTCATTCCTAAGACATCCAGCCGACACAGAGCTGTGTCGTCAAACCTCGCCTCGTGCATGCACTGGTGTCGCCTTGGGGTGCAGTAGCAGAGCAGCATGCCGCTCGTCGTGCTGGCCCACAACGCCGAGTGCGTGCCAACCCTGCCTCGCAGACATGAATTTTCCATGCCTCTCGACTCATGCTTCAGCCTTTTCCGTCGTCCACCCTCCCAGCAAACCGATTTCACCCTAGCAGGCACTGTCCTCATCGGCCCTTTTGAATGACCCCCCTCCCATAGAGCGCGTTTTATCTATGTCGTGGCTGAGAGTGCCGCGGGCTCTGGACAACATGTCGCCGTTGCTGTGCCCCCAGCGCCTCGCCGACCCCGTGTGGTGATGGAGCATGCAGATTCTGCCGAGGCCGCCATTGACATTCTCCATCAGTGGCATGCCACCTGCAAATTCAAGCAAATGTACGCAGCTGGTCGCCTTGACTCCAAGAGCAAATCAAGACCCCAGTGCCGCCTATCTCACCTCTGTGACTCGCAGCTCGGTTCCCTTCATCTTAGGCCGACTCGCGCGGCCCGAAGCATCCTGGCTGCTGCTACCTCTTGAATTGCAGACCGTTGAGTTGCACCAACGAAAATTCATGGTCTGCCGCCTCTCTACCTTCCTGCACCCCTCCACGCCCAGAGTTGATCAGATCCGCCAATCGCTCAATGCCATTCATCGCTGGTCTGGTTAGGTCTTGCGCCAATCGGCTTGGCTATCGCTGGCCTCAATCCCAATGGAGCATGACCCAGCCAATATCCCCGACATGCCCATCGATGGAGCCGTGGTCGTGGACGCCTCTGAGCTTACACAACTTGCCGAACCTGGTATCCCTTTGGCTTCGTCGTACCATCGATTTCCCCATGACTAGGTTCAGCTCACTCCTTACCCGCACACGCCCATGATCTCCACGGCATGCTTCGTTCGCATGGAGGGATAGATGCTCTCTGCTGGAACGTGGGCATGCGTCGCTGCTTTGCCAGTGTACAGCGACGCTTCATAACCCACCTGTGTCCCCCGGCTCATCTTGGTCATGCTTTGGTCTTGGAGGACATGCTGCTGACATGCTGGTATGCATCGCAACCTATATCCTGCACCAGGCTCTCGGCTTCGGTCCGAATCTTCTCAAACGCACCTCTGACCCTTGCAGTCGCTTTCTCTTGGACCAGCCAAAGCTTTATTACCGACATGAGTCCCTTGTTCAATTGCAGTGTCTCCTGCCTGATCGCCACCATTCTATCTGGCTGCACAATGTCATTCGACTCACCTCGGGGCCCGTGCTCCCGGTACGCGTACTTGCTCGCAATCATCAAACGCTCCAACGCTCCATCAACCAGTGTGTGATGGCTGCGTTGCAAACGATCATTCGGTCATGAACACTGACCACGCCAAAAACGTTTGTCCGTGTGCTTGTTCTGTGCAACTCTTCTCCTCGCCGCATGCACAGCCTCCTGCCGAGCTGTTGCAGCTATTACGGGACAAAAGCGGGAGCTGCTCGAATGCAGACTCGGCCAAGGTGGATCCAAACATTTGCTTGATCGATCTGTGTCAGCCAGACGCTCCAGGCTCTGAGGTTCGTGGCACCCCAAAATGCACAGATGTCGACTTTTGACCATCACCGCTAGTTCTGGTCTCAACCTGTCCGGTCCCGCGTGCCTGACATCATCTGCCCTTCCATGTGCCTTTCTTTGCTTGCAACGTAGAGCGCTGCTGATTACCGAAACACCCTGCTAGCTGCGGATGATTTGACGACCTCAATACGCCTGCCACTGCGTCATCTCCTTCATGTCATGGGTCATCGCGATGCAGCAGCGACCTTGCAGAGTCTTCTAGATCGCAGACGGAAAAGCCTCGATCAAGAAGTACCCACCATCTTTCTTCTTGTTGCTGACCGCGATGCTGGCGAGCTCGTGCAGGCGGCGTTTTTGCTGTGGGTCTGTCTGTGCGCCCCAGCAGATTCCGCCAACCCCGATGCATTGGCCTGGCTTTATGAACATTACACTCCAACTCAGCGCCAGGACTTGGCCACGCACTTTGGCGTTCTTGGCTTTCTCCAGGGCACTCCAGACCCTCTCAAGTCGCTGGCGCCATGGTTAAAACTTTTGACGGACGACAGCCATCTTTCGCCTTCTCTGCGCATCTTGCTTGCTAGTCCAACGGAGGCAGATATTCTTCCCCAACAGGAAGCGCACAAGATCCGACAACTGCGCTGCCTAACTCTGGAGCGGCCTCGCCACGAGGAGGTACCGGTGTGCGTGACCACGCGTCGCTATCGCCAAGGACGATCGGATATCCTCGTGCAATGCCCATGGGCTGTGCGCGTTGAGGGGCTCTATCTGCGGGTGCCAGACCTGCATTGGAATGAGGCCGTGACGTGGCAAGTCATTGGTTGTACTGGTACGACCCAGCAAGTGCTCGGTACTATTCGATTACCAAACCGTGTGACCAAACGCACGTGGATTTTCCCTTTGCGCCCCCTTGAGGATCGCTGCTATCACGAGCTGCGCTTGCGGAGCACCGATGTGGGTGATGACGACGTTCGGGAGGTCGGACTCTTGGCGAGTGCTACGGATGCTGCCGGCCAAGCGACCCGCCCCGGTTGGCACCGTCCGTGGCGCGTCATGACAGCCGAATCTGTCGTTGGCATTTGGCTGGCTAATATGCAGCCCGCCGCCAGCAGCGCCGCAGATCAGACGCAGGTAATCATTTTCCCGGGGCCGTATGCGCTGTGCATGCGCGGTGTTTGCATAGAAGTTGTGGCGCTTGGTTTATTGTGGGTTTGTTTTTGCTTTTCCTTTGAAACGAGATCCCTCGGCTTGATTCTCTCACACTTGCATTCAACATTGGTAGGTGGATGCGCAGCTGTGGTGGCTTTTACACCACGAGCATGTGGCTGGCTCATCAAAAGCAATGTTAGTGTTGGTATCACATGTGCATCGTCACCTGTCAGCAGATTCCTGTACACACCTAGTGACTTGGCGTGTGTCCATGCTTGAATCTTTAGGCGTATTCGGGGTCGTTGCAGGATCACCGTCCGACTCTGCGGACTGGTCGGGCCGATGCACTTGACTGTACGCCCAGCCAGAGATGCAGCCATGCTCGAGGGCTGTAGATGGCGCGTTTGGATCGGAAACAACGAGGATCAGGCCCAAGCCCTGCACGCTGATGCGTCGCTACCGATTGAGGCGGCTGGCCAGGAACCGTATGACTGCTTGGTGACGTTTGCGGCGCCCTCGGTGAGCTATCCACCCAACTTTTACCAGCAAGAGGCATAGACGCCCTCTTGTTGTGCAGCCTGCTTGAAATGTTTTTATTTCTCGCATGGTTCCTCATACCGCGGGTTGGTCTTGACGCCTGCTCGCGTGGCGAAATGATATTGATTGGGTGCTAGGAATGCGACTTGGTGCTTCGTGCCTTGTTACTTGAACCCCAACAGAAGCTGTCCAAATTGCCCATGAAACTGCGCTGCTCGGCGCCTCCCGAGATACCAGAACCTTTCACGGACGTGGGCGTCTGCCTTGCTGCCCAATCCATTTACAAGCTAGAAGGTGGAAGGTGCGTTGGATGCTGGCTATCCGTTGTGAAGTGCTTGAGGCTTCAAATTGTTTTTCGCCAAGGCTGATTCAAGTGGCGGCTGGTATTGCCCATCACACAGGTTTTCCATCTACAACTTGCCAAGTCATAGCTCTTTGTCTGGCCTTTGCCTACGGGTGCGCCAAAGCCTCACCCCAATGGCCCCTGTGCAAGTACGTTCTCAGAGACCACCAAATAGTCTTGGCAAGCCATGCCAGCGGTGGCTGACCGTTTGTTTTATGCTCTAGGTGTCCCGTATTCGGGTTCTGGCCTATGAGACTGTCCTGGGCGCCGACACGACGGCACAGCAGTTGATCAATAAAAGCTCGACCTTATTGCTCGATACTCTCATCCCGTTGCTCGGTCGCCGAGACGTTCTTTCTTATCGTCTTGCGGTACGCTTCTGGCCCTGTTCAATTATTATTTTTATTTTGTTTTATTTCTGGGGTTTTTTTTTTTTTTTTTTTTTCCTTGTTCAACATGCTCACTAGAACTTTTGACCTGTGTCTTTAGGACGTTTATTTGGCTGCAGCGGTGGTGCTGGAGATTGTCGAATATCAAGGGCCATCTGCTCAACACAACTTGTCTCTGAGTGTTTTTTGAATGCGTTCTGATGTCTTGTCATTCACGTCATGTTTGTGCAATCACGTTAGCAGCTCATAGTTCTATGTTCGGATTTCTTTTTGTCTTCACACCTAATCGCAACAAATTAATGGAATAAACTGTGAGGGGCGGAAAGTTGGACTTTGCTTGGCATGTAAAAACGTTGGATGGATGGTGGCATTCTCATGATGATGGGATGGTGGCATTCTCATGATGATGATGGAATAGCGCGTGCGTGCTTTCAAGTTGACGCACTACATGACTCGGGTTTTGTTTACCATTATTAATTAGGATAAAACTCTGTCGACATGACACACAAACACACACACGCAAAGAAACATGTCAACATCACACACGCTGGCATGTGAGGTAGGAGAGACTAGAGCGGAAGAAAGTAGCGTGTCCTGGACACACAACAAAAACAAAACGAAACACTGATATGGATGCGCATTGCTATGCATGGAGCCTCCACTCTGGGCAGCGCCGTGACTGCACGGCAGTCCGGGAGACCAGAGATAGGCGACTCATCAACGCCGCCTTTGGGTACAATCAAACTTAGGCAGGGTACGCGCTGGAGAAGTAGCGACCAAAGTAACCGTGAGGCTCCTTGACAAATTTTTTGAGGATGTTGCGGAGCGTAACGACGCGCAGGGGGCGATCATTGCCATCGACAACGTAGATGCGGTGGATGCGGCTCTCGACGAGGCTGCGAATGACGTCCTCCATAGTGTCATCGGGACCGCAGACGACGGCCTTGTTTTCTTTGCCTGCCGTCACCACGTCAAGGTAGGCCTTGATGGACATGTCAAGAAGCTTGTAGATCTTGGACGAGGAGACGATGAGGCGAACGTCGCGCGCGCTAATGTTGCCACAAATGCGACCATCGTCCTGCACCACGGGAACGGCGGAAATGTCCTTGTCGCGGATGAGGCGGAAGGCCTCGCGGAGGGGCTGGTTGATGTTGACGGTGAAAAGGCGGCCAGCCTTGCCGAGACCAAGATCGCGGAGGGTCTTGCCACCAACTGAGGTGAAGCGGGAAAGGTTGGCAGAGAGCGTCTGCACAAGAGCCGATTGGGTGATAATGTTGGTCAGACCGCCTCCGGGAGTCTTGACGACGGGAATGCGGCGCACGCCATGGTGGCCAGCCAGCAGCATGCAGTCGAGCAGATTGCCGGCGTCCATGTCGACGGGGATGAAGGGGCCAAAGCGCGAGTACGAGATGGCTTCCTTGACAGAGGTGTTGCGGAAGCGCTCCACCTGGGAGATGTCCTCCTTGAAGTCGCCTTGGGACTCGTCAGCGTCGAGGACCTGAAGCATGTGGAATACCACACCAATCATGTCAAGGATGCCAATGTACATAGAGTCCCAGGGCGCGTCGTCAGGCTGATCGACGTCGCGAACGGGCGCCGAAAGGATGTGGTTATCGCTGAGCAGGTTGACGGCCTCCAGGATGGACATGTCGGAGCGGAGGATGATAATCTTGCCCAGGGCAGGGGTCGGGAAGATGGTCATGGGCACGCCAGCAAAGTCCTCGTTCAGGGAGCCGTCGCCTTCAACTTCGGCTTCCTTGTCGGCCAAGGCAAGTTGCTCTTGCTCCAGCTTGAGGTTCTTTTGAACGCGAATGGTCAACACGCCATGCTCGCAGTTGGCTGTGATCTGCTCGTGATCGGCGGCCGTGGGCAGGCGGAAGGTGCGGCAAAACTTGCCCATGCTGCGCTCCATGCTATCAGACCAAGACGCATCAGTGTGGAATACTTGATGTCACAAGGTGCGAGGCCATGGCCTCTGCGAGTCGCGAGTTGGCTTACCGATGAACTTTCTCGTTTTGGTCCGGGGTGCGCGGGGTGCGCTCACCGCTAATCTGCAAAAGGTCACTGGTCACGCGCACATGCACGTCCTAATGCCCCACAAGGAGGCGTTGCAGCGAAGAGGGAAACGAGCGTGAGCAAGACGGGCAAGACGGTAGCTAAGGCGGAGCACACGGAGCGAGTGGCAGCTGCTGTCGCCAGTCCAACCTTGGATGACAGGCCGGGGCAGTCCGTCACAAAGGTGAAGCTGTTGTCGTCTTCGGTAATGTCAACGGGTCCCATAAAGGGATGTGCGGCTTGGGTGTCTTGGGCATGTTCGTCGCCCCACGACTTGGCCGACACAGGGTCATACTTGAAGTACGGCATTTCGGCGGTGAACAAGAGCGACTGTGGAGTCTATTACGACAAAGCAAGCGAAGGGTCAGACTGTATGGCCAATGGCAGCCGGTGCTGGCCGTTTCACACAAAACGGCGGGCGGCAGGCCAACAAACAAGTGGCATACTTCAGTGCCGGGGAGTAGAAAAATGAAGCCACTGGCGCGGTCACTGCGTGCGTTCGTGTACGTGTGTGTGTGGCGTGCGTTTGTGCGTGTGTGTGTGTGTGTTGCATCGGTGTCAGTGGGTGCGTTGTACAATATTTAGGCTTGGCGAGTACCCTCACCCTGATTTGTGCTCACTGCACGAGTTTTTCTCTGTAAGATCACGGGGGCCGGTATGATACGATGGATGATCGGTTCTTGGCTTGGAAAGCATGCCGGTACGCTCCATCGCGCTGCCATTTTGAGCGGCTTAGTGTGTTTTCGCAACCGGCATGTCCCACGGGCCCATCAGTAATCACTCACACACACACACACACACACACACACACACACACACACACACACACACACACACACACACTCCGGTGATTGCGGCCTGATGAAACATTGTCCGCAGTTTGCGATGATAGGGTTCCTTCAGAGAAGGACAGCAGTGATGGAGATTGCAAAAAGGGCAAAGCCACACACACATACAGAAGTGAGTTTCATCATGGCAACGCATAACGTATGAGAGAGCTTGATCTCGCAATCTTGGGGAGTGAATGATGAAAGAGGGTGTCACTGTTTGCCTCGGCGGTGTCAAGCCAGCAACCATCGACGATGACTGGGGTGGTAGATTGGGTCGCGCTCTGCGACCATGGTGAAATATTGATTCGTCCTTACATCCAGATGTGGACTGCGCGAGGACGAGGCCTCTTTTCAGGCCCTGTCACTGAATTGCCGTCCGTTGCTTTTTTGGACAGGCAAGCTCGTTCATCGCACAAGCTATGAGGCTAAGGTCTTTCTTCATGGGATTCAACTGGTCGAGAACGTAATACAGCATCAACCTTGACCAACCCGGCGTGGCCATTTGGGCGACATTGTGCAGTGATCAAGATCGATTGGACATACAAGGACACACAGACATGAATACACCCAGAGAGACGTCCGAAGACCCAAGCAGCTGGGCTTTGCCAAAGTATGGGGCCAGTTCAATCCTTACAAGGAGCACGGTTTGGCAAACTCAGAGCTCCACCCGAGTTTGAAGGCGTGTGTCTGTACTCAGGGCCGCAGTAGCCTCAGCCCGCCCTGGGCGCGGCCCACAGGTAGAGAGCAACTCCTGTCCACGATGAATCAGGTTCAGTGTGGAGTAGCGAACCGCTGCGGGAGGGCAGCCTGGGTGCCGCGCCGCGTAAGTCATGGGGTTGTATAAATCTATGAGCTCTTGAAAAGCGTTCCAGGCGCGGCGGCAGCGTGCCTTGTGCTCGTGGCCCTCACCAGCCGGCGCGCTGCGGGCTGTCCGAATGACTGCTCGCGCTGCGGGCTGCGCCATAAAGTCCCGCTGCACGTCGTGATAGTCAAGCACAGCACAAACCTCGCCAGTTGCCCAGGCCCACCAACGTTGGCCCAATGTCCAGGCCCGATGCGCCACGCTCTGCGCTGGCAGACGCAGGTGCAAACGTTGGGCCCACTGTGCAAAACGGGCATCCAGCTGCTCCACGTGCTGCTTGACCGCACGTCGCACCTTGGCTCGTTCCGGAGAGAAGCGCACGCCCAATTCCTTGAGGTCCGCATCATCAAAGTCATACAGCAGCTCAAAAGTGATCCTGTCCCGGTGGAAGAGGTCGGCATACTTTTTCAGGTGCAGCCCCTCCAGCCACCGCCGCATCGGGCTGGCAGAGACATCATAGCACCGATAGGCCCCATCTGGGCTCTTGCCCTTGGGGCAGTGAACCATGCACATGCCCTCGTTGCTGAAGTGCTGACAGGCGTAGCATTCGCGCGGACCTGGCCCAAAGCAGCCTGCATCGCTGCACTCGTCGTGGCAGGGATAGCATGTTCCATTGATGGGCTCCTCTACCATGCCTGGACCGCAGGCCGCCACGCATCGGTGGCCACTTAAAACAAGGGGTGCTGCACACGCCGTGCAATTGTTCACGCGCCCGGAACACGCGGCACATGGGCTACTGCAGCGTACGCAGCGGCGCGCCTCAGCTTGATGAAGATAGCCCGGCCCACATTCGGTGACACACTCTGAGTCCTGCACTAAGGCACCGACAGGGCACTCGGGTGCGAGCTTATTGGCTGCCGTCGCGGCTTGTATCTCCACCCAAGCCGCGGGTAAAGCCCGCAGCTCCGACTCGGCCAGTGCGTCAGCCTGGACCACGTCAGTGGCGGCCTTTTGCTCATCCGGCTGGGCATAACGCTCGGCCTCACGTTGTCCGGCCAACTCGGTGGTTAGAGGAATCAGCGGGGGTGGCGCTGCCGCGCGGTCAGGCTTGCCCAAAGTCTTTGATGCTGCATCGTTGCTCACCATGGGGTCGGAGAATGCAGTGCCTTCGCTTGTAGCGGATGGGATCGGATCCGTCGAATGCCTTTCCGAATGGCTATCCAGCGCCAGTTTGCGAAGCTGCGTGTTGGTTGTGAGAGCGCGTGCAAGGGCATCGACGCCGTCATCTTCGATGGCGTTTCCCCGCAGGTGCAGCTCTTGCAGTGCTTGGTTGTCAGCCAAAGCCGAAGCAAGGTCTTCCGTCCCAGAATCAGACAGGCTGTTGTTGGTCAAGTCCAACAGCCGCAGCCTGTTGTGTGTGCTGAGGAGCGAGGCCAGCTCATCAGCCACAGCGTCCGAAAGCTGGTTCCCCTGCAATCGCAGCTCCCGCAGGCCGGTTAGCTGCAGACATGCAGTCATCAGCTGCTCGCCTTCGGCATCAGTCAGCTCGGTGTGATCCAAGCCAAGAACTTGAAGCCGCGTTGAGCGGCTCAGGAGGTCAAGCACTGCGTCAAACACGGTTGGCATTGAGTTCTCGCTGAGGTCCAGCTCAACGAGCCCCGAGCTTTGCACAGTATTCACCAGCTCAGTCAATCCCTGCTGCAAACGGCGAGCAACCAAGCGCTTGGGCGCATTTCCAGATGCGCGCTCCTTTTCTGAGCTGGCAGATACCCAACCAAGACGTGCACCGCTCAGATCCAGATCTGTGGCCCGGGTGATGATTGTCCTGAGCTCCGACTCACTGGCTTCACTCAAATCGAGCCCCTGTAGCCGCAGCGCAGCTACCGGCGCGCTCATGTCCGATGCCAGCAAGGTAGCCAGACCGTCTCCCGTAACGCGCGTTCGAGATAGGTCCAGGCGCGCCACCTTGGGAAGGTGGGTAGGCAGCCTCGCTAGCAGCTCGTCCGATACCGGTGCACCAGCTAGGCCAAGGGTTTGCAACGCGGGAGCGGTGTGGTGCAGCGTTGACAAAAGAGCAGGCAGCTGCTCAGCTGACAGAACATTTTCACCCAAATCGAGGTGTTGAAGGCGCGGCCAGCCCGCCAACAAGCCCACGAGTGGAGCGGGCAGGGTGAGTGAGGCGTTGACGAGGATTAATTTCTCGAGGCCGTGCAGCTGGCCGATGTGCCCCAGCAGAGCGGTTGGTACTGTTGCATGGCGCACGTCCACGGTACGAAGGTGAGAGCCCATGGCCTGAAAAAAGGCTTTGGCTTCTGGTGCTGCCAGCCGAGCCAGGTCCGCTTCCACCTCAGGCAGATGCTCAGTGACCGAGCATGACCAAGCTTGGCAGGCAGGCGACGCAAGTGCTCCCGCGCGAGCAAAGTGTTCCTTCTGTCGCAACAATTCGGATGTAGTACAGCTCTCCTGCGCGGCCACTGCGCCTACCACACTCACCAGCGCCAAGGCAATCGTCCAGCCGCCCCAGTCGCCAGGCCTCGCGCCTCGCGTCGCACATGCCCTGGCAGGGGACCGCATCCTCCTGTCATTCAAACCACTGAAAGTTGAGAGAAAAAGAACCGAGGAGAGAGAGAGAGAGAGAGAGAGAGAGAGAGAGAGAGAGAGAGAGAGAGAGAGAGAGAGAGAGAGAGAGAGAGAGAGAGAGAGAGAGAGAGAGAGAGAGAGAGCAAAGACACAAAAAAAAAAAGCACAACTACCACATGTAAATGTAGAGAGTGAGAGAGAGACACACAGACACACACAGAAGAAAGCCAGCAAGATATTGTCAGCATAATCAAAGTATAATTTTATCTTCACTTCCGCTGGACGCGCTTTCGGATGCTGATTTCTCTCTCTCTCTCTGTTTCTCTCTCTCTCTCTGGTACGTAACAGGGCGCTGATGGTGAGGCCGTGTGATCGACGAGGATGGATGCTGTGAGGGAGGAGGACGGGCAAGTATGGTGCAGGACACACGGTGGGAAGGGGGAGGCAAGCGCTCGTGCAAAATTGCCGACTGACCCTCAGTTCGTTGAATTTGCATGCCAATGCTCAGGCTGAGGCTCAGCTTGGAACAGCACCGAGCTAGGCCACACTTTGGCAATCCCGCCGCACCTCTCAGATTCCGATCTTCAAATCAGCCCTTAGCGTCCTCAACACATTAATCAGGAGCCCCATAATACCTGCATGGTGTCACTACAACCTGCTTGACCGTACAAGAGTGTCGATTTGAGCCCATCCCTCTCTCAACTGCCTCAGGTGCCAAGGTCGCGTCGATCGCCGCGGCTGGGCGGCCTCAAACGCTCGCCATGTTTAAAAGCCTTTTTGGCCGCGATGGTGGGCGGAAAAAACACGATGGTCGGGTCACCGCGCCCACCGGCAAGCTGCACGGCCATTCCTACCTCCTCAGCAAGGTTTGTTCGAGCTCAGGCCACCGCCTTTTCCATCGCACGTCTTGCTGCGCTACCCTGTATTGCCGCGCCACTTGTCGCTTCTGATGGGCTATGCGTCCCTGTCTGCCTGGTTGAAAGGGCCCCGCAATCGGCCTACCTCCCATGCCCACATGCCTGGCCTTTGATCAAGATCAGGGCGTTCTGGCTGTCGGCACTCGTTCAGGAGCCATCACACTGTAGGTGCTTGTGGCGGGACTCTGCATCGGCTCCAGCCCACATGGACCACCACGTCTCTCTCTTACTTGTGCGTGGTCTTTATTTGCTTGGCGGATGGGCGTGTGGCGTCTTTATTAGCATTGGGCACCCTGGCTGTGCCATGCAGTTTCAGCAGCAGCTTGAGCACATCATTCAACTCATCTTTGTTCCTAATAAGGTACCGCTGAGGGCTAGACGGATGCGGTTGGCCAAAACAAGCCTTGTGACTTGAGGCCTCCCGTCTTGGACACCAAGCATCGCCCACTCACCCAGCACGACTTTGCCGGGGGCATCTTGAATAGGGAGAGTTGATTGTTGTGACGCAGTCAGCTACCCTCTACCAGTGGCGTTGGGCAGAGGATCCGCCCCGCCTCATCAACTCACTCGCCTTTAAGCACGAAGAGTACGCTCGCGTCACGCTACCAAGCTTTCGCTTCTCAGCCTTCCTTATTCCATCCATCCACGTCGAACAGTCACCTCACGTTGAATGCGACGCATCATTTCTTTGCCTGTCCATGTCGTGCAGGCTTACCTTTGTGCACTTGGCGCCGGGCGGTGACGGTTGGCTCTACGTGGGAACCAACCGCGGAAATGTATACCTGATTCGGAGTGACACGCTCGTGCGCAGCACCTACGCAATCATGTGGAACGAAGTCACCACCAAGTATGCCCTTACTTATCATCGCATATCTGGTGCTTGCCCGTACCCCATTTGCACGGACAGCATGCTTACATCCTCGATCCCGAACTCACCCCATTTTAGCGGCTTCAATCCGGGCCCTGTCATCAAGATTGCATCACAGCCGGGCAATACCTCCACCGTAGGTCAATTTCCAGAGGTCCCCCCGTGTGGGCACTCCCTCTGAAACTAGGCTTGGTGCGTCTCACATCCGACTCTCCTTGCGACAGCTGCTCTTGGTGTACGAGCGTGGCTACCTGGCAACGTGGAACGTGATGGAGCGCCAGGTTCTAGACCGCTTCAAGATGAAGGAAAATGCGGTGAGAGGCAGCGTGTTTCAACTACACTACTGCCTCACAGATCGATCCTTATTACTCATCCAGACGATGCCGTCTGCGATGCAAACCGTCGCTGACAACTTTGTTGACGTCTTCGTCCTTGGTCCCTTATAGGTGGCCACGAGCGCCTGTTGGGCCCCTGACGGCAAGTTTTTCTATACTGGTCACGTGAATGGCGACATAATGCGGTCTGTGTCCGAGCCTTCGCACTGGCGCATGCCGTCTTTGCCCTCGCCCTGCGCGCTGCAGCATCAGTCATCACCCCTCACAGCCATCGCGGCCTACACAGCTGGGATGCCAAGAAGCCACTGCCCGAGCAGGTGCAAACTGAAGAGGACTTTTCTTTCCGCGAGCCCGTTTTGCACATGAGTGCGCTGCAGACTAAAGGGTAGGTTATGCGGAGAGGCTTCTGCATTGTTGCGCGATGAGCATTCTTTGTTTGGTACTGCCGTCATTGCTTACGCTTCCTCTTCTGATCTACTTTTTTACAGTGGCTTGCTGCTGGCACACGATGGTGGCCCCGCCCCTCTGGACGGGCAAGCACACACGCTGTCCATACTCATGCCGGACGGACGCGTGCGCAACTCCTTTTTGGACAATGACGTGATGGACATCCTTCTCCTTTCCGATGGCCCCAAGGTAGGGTGCAACTCCTGGCACTGCTGCCGCAAAAGCATTCTATTGTTCGCACAAGCCTTGCACAAGCGTTGTCATTCAAGCTTGTGCCATAAGGCATCATATGTCGACTGATTTGGGATTGTCTTGCTTGGTTGTCTCAAATTAGGGGGCGTCGGCGGACACGCTGGTGCTTCTGACGTCTGATAAACTGCAAGTGCTGGACGTCGATGCGCATCTAGCCTCCATCGATGTTATGCACGGTCTGCAAGTGCAAGACAGCGTTCTGACGTGCAGTCAACACATTTCCAGTCCAGGAGCAGCCGTCTTCAATGCCTTGGTGCTAGCTGCTCGTGATGAGCACATGCATCAGGGCCAGGCCACACCCACTAGTCCTCGATCCGCCCGCTCGCCCATCAATGGCGGCAGCCAACGGGGCTCAACCACCCCACCCTTTGGTGACCTCTTAATCACAGGTCACGCTGATGGCAGCGTGCTCTTTTGGAATTGGGCTACCGGTAAGTTTGATTCTTGTGCACATATTTTTGTTTTACTTTGGTCGTTCTGGAAGGACTGATGACCTTTTTGCCTGCCAAAATTCTGCCAGACGATGTGATACTGGTACACAAGCTGCGCTTGCCCTACAGTCCAGAGCACGTGACGCTGATGCCCTATGGTGGTACGTTTGGATGCGTGGCAGAACGCATGGGGGCTGGCTAGGGTGTGCAACTAGCGCCTCATCTCATGTTTGAGCTCTTGACTTGTGTATTTTTTTATCAACTCCCTGTCTGTCTGTCTGTCCGTCTGCAGACGATCGAGCCGTGATGCACGTCGTGTTCGATGTCACAAAGCTGCTGTTAGCCGTCTCCCACGCCTCGGGCCATGTGTTGGTCTATCAGTTTTCCACCCAAGCTGGACCAACTGAGTTTGAAGTCAGTTTGCGTCAGCGTTCTCTGGTTTCATCGTTATTTCTTTCTTCCAGGCCTTGTCATGGTCATTCCATCTTGACACTCACCCCCTCTTTTCCTCTTTCTTGGTAAAGTTGCGACGCGTGCAACTTTTGGAGCCATCTGGTTCACCACACTCGAGTCGCAGTCAGTCACCGAGCAAGACTCGGCCCCCTCGTCCTCCCGCGCCAGAAGGCAGGGTGCCCATGGCCCAGGAGCAGTCGAAGCGCGAGGTCGCAGGCAATACAAGTGTCACGGACTCGGACAACGTTGTCAGTGAGGCCAAAGTCAAGGAGCTGATGGAATACGGCTTTTCTGAAGCGAGTGTGCGTGCCGAACTAGCCACTACCAAAGGGGATATGAATCAGGCAGCTGCCAACCTCTTTGATCGCGAGGATGATCGTGGTCATGTTGCCAACCCGAAGGCAAGCAAAGAACAGCAACAAGGCGCACGTGGAGCTGATCATGCCGGGGCAACAGATAGTGATACAGCCATTATCGTGCTTAGTGATGGCCAGCAGCTTGTAGAAACTTCAGAGCTCGATCACCCAGTATCAGCTGCGGCACCCGAATCGGGACCATCGGCACCCGAATCGGGACCATCGGCAACCGCACAGAAAGACGCGGGCGACGATGTCCGGACCCAGGATGAAGCGGGCGGGAATGATGCCGGGGTGGAGTCGGAGGAGGAATACAAACTGCCCTTGGCATCATTGCCCGACTCGACGGTTCTTTCGTACCAAGCCCACGCCGGTTTTCAATTGTATTTGGCCGCGATTTGTACGGTTATGGGCCAGGAGCATGACGAGTACGTCTACGCCTGTTTATTTCATTCCACTTGATTTTATTTTGCTTGATTTTATTGTTTCATTCCCGTCTTATGTGTGCGCGGTGGGGCGCTGCTGTTTCTCAGGGTGGTGGATCACGTGGCATGTTTGGAGCTATATGCCCACCGCGGGGTGCTTTGCTTTGGCAACACGCGCGGGGTCTGCATGCTGTCTTTTGTGGCCCCCAGGTGTCAAGTCAAGGCAGGTCAGCGGTTGCGGTGGAGCCGTGCACTGGCACTGGCAGAACTCAGCCTCCACCATCCATCGCGAGAGAATCGCGAGGCTGACGGCGTGTGTGCGTTGAGCGCTGTACCCGGGGTCATCCTCCGCACCAAAGAGGCGGACTCCATCCAAGCACCCGCCGTACTTCTTGTGGCCACACTGCTCGGGGACATTTACGCAGTGCCCGTTGCAGAGAGCGGCGCCGCAAGTTAGTCTGACTCCCGTTCGCGTTGTATTGCGGCGCAATGCGACTCGCTGCTTCTTCTCATGGGCACGGCGCATGTGTGGGGATGGGATAGAACATTACTTTTCACTCAAGGCTCCTTCGCCCATTATCGGTCTTCAAGCATTGGTGTGTCACGAGATCTGGGCTGCTGAACCAGCGACTTGTGCATGCTCGACATTGCCCTTTCATGAATCTTGTTGGTCTTTGGTTGTATTACCTAGGATGCACATCATCACCCTCTGGACGTTCAATTTTGGGGTGCACAGGAAAAATTGGAGGCATCTGATGCTCGGGTCTCACTCGATGCCGAAACCCAATGCCAGACTGCCAAGGCCATGCCAGCGCAGGACTCTGCTGCCGAGCAAGCGACTTTGCCTGCGACGTTGACAGAGCTGCGCGCGCTTCTGTCCACGGCACCTGATCTTGACCGGATGAAGACGTACGGAGACCACATCAAGGTATGGTGTCGTTGGGTCTGGTTACAGAATGATCGTGGCACAACAAGAGCCCAACGGCGTGCACATAAACTCGCCCTTGCTGGCTCTTGATAGCACTTGAAGGAGGCGCAAAAGCTGGACGAGGATGAGCTTCATCAGCTACGGGCCGAGTGGGAGACCCGGCGCATTTGGCTGGTACGCTGAGGCCCCCCAAGTTTGCTCGTTGTCTGACAGCTCATCAATGGTCTCATACGAAATGTCGATTTATCCTATATTTGGGTTGAACTGATGATTCTGGCAGCAAGAGCACGGCGCGGAATCCTCGACCACGGCGCAGCAAGCGTCATCGAACAAAACCCCGGCTGCTGAAGCAGGCGCTCCGGATGGTCCAGGGAACGCAGAAAGCACTCCGGCTGGGGATGCTAGCCTGGTGCTAGCAGCAGCCACAGCCTTTCGCAAGGGGGGATTGAGTGGTTCCTCCACGCAGATGCTGAACGATGCGAGCGTGTTGGTGGTCACCGCAACCGGCGTTCTTTGCCTTAAGAAAGGCGCCGTTAAAGCACGCACACACGCCGTCAAAGCGAGTCCACTGACTCGGTGGGCTTACGTGTCGGTGGATGGTACGCTCGAAAGACTGTTGCTCGAAAGGCTGTGACATGCCGTGCCGTGCTGCTTGGCTGGTTGCAATGCCTGCCAGCTCATTGCCTTTGGCGCATGAATGGCGCATGTGGATGCGTTGCACATTGATAGGGGTACCAACAGTGGCTGCTGTCTCGCGAGATGGTGTGTACCACCTCTACCCGGCTGACAATCTGCATGGGGAAATGCAGCTCCCCACGCACCTCCCTCGTGGCTTGCGGTACGCGTTTCCTGCCTGTGGTGGGCTGTGATTTGGGGCGTCTGGATCAATTGATGCTCACTGGCTACCTGTCCGCAGAGCTGTGCAAACGCTTGTCATCACGCAAGATGGTTCTCTTATTTCGCCAACTCGAAGCGGAGGTCTTGTGTTCAAGCATCTCATCAACGCAGATACAGCCCGTAAGTTGAATGGCGGCGTTGGCATGGTCTGGTCTTTGTTGATTCTGTTTTTTTGTTTTTTTAATAATGAAGATCAATTTCACCCATTCGTGCTTGTCGCACGCGTTTGCGTGGCGTTTGGAAATCGGTTCGATTAACAGCGGTGCGCGAAGGCGCAAGTGGTCAAGAGAGCGCGGACAGCGAGCGCTCAGTGAACTGGTATATTGCAATTTCCCTTTTTTTTTTCCTTTGATTTGGAGGGGTTTTGGTCGCAAAGTCATTCTCACGCTGGCGTTTCAACAACAAAATTTGCTTGGATAGTGTCTTTGACCCGAGTCGAGTACGCAAGGAAGAACGTCAAAGTGGTGGACTGCTTTCCGGCTTGTTCGGCAAGAAAATTTCAACAGCCACGGAGCGCGACGAGCTCTGTGAGTGGACGCGTGGAGGTTTTTGTGTGTGTGCGTGTGTGTGTGTGTGTGTTTTTTGCGCTGGATTGGCGAATCAGGACCTTTTTGTTGTCTCATCTCATATTTCTGAACTTGTACAGTTGAGAAGATGGTGGATCGGCGTGACAAGAGTCACGTTGCTGATCGGACAGCACACGCTGATGCGGCGCATGGAGGCTTCTCCGAATTGCACGAGGTCAGCATTTTATACTGTTTGTTTGTTGCGTGCAGCCTCGTTGGCCAGCCTCACTTGGTTCGCCATCACAGAAAATGCGCAAGCGCGAGGAGCGGCTCGCCAAATTTGAGCAACAGGCACAGCAGATGGCTGCTGAGGCAGAAAACTTTAATTCGGCTGCAAGGTTTGTTCTTTGTGTGCATGCTTAATATCAGTCGTGCGAGAGAGCCCGTGTGTGAAGGTGGCTAGCCATGTTTGCCATGAGGTGTGCTAACGTAGCCCATGCAACCCTTTCACCCTGCAGTCAACTGGCAGAATATTACAAGAATAAAAAGTGGTGGCAGCTCTAGTTAGAAGGTGTTGCGTGGCGAGTCTCTTTGAATGGCCAGCCCTACCACGTGAGGCATGTCATGTCATGGGAATGCATATAATGTGTACGCCAAACAGTCAAATCGCGTGAGTGCGTGCTTGGAATCAGATCTGATTTGAGATTTCTTTTTTTTCGACGATGCTCAAAACCAAACCAAAACCTGAATGACTGGCCGAAGCGCTTCCTGTTGGCAACACGACGAGCAGGCAGGTATACCGGCGATTGGCCGTCTATCAACGAGAAACGCACGCCGAAGACGCCACAAAAAGGCGTTCCGGCTTCAGCACAAGCCAACTCAATCCTCCAAAAGACATGCACACGCCTGGGAAAACATCAAGCGTAGACCATGGCTAAGACTCTTGTCTGCAGCGCCAGGCGCCGCCCAAAAGTAGTGCTCGGCACACGTCAGCCGATGGCGGAAAACTGGAGAAACTGCCCTCTGTCCGTTTTTCTTTTTTTTTCCTTAATCAGAAGGGCCGAACTCTCAAGCGGCAGCCTTGTGTGTCGTCTTGCTGGCGGGCTTGCGACCCAGCATCAGGTTCATCATGTCCTGATTAAACTTATCCAGCAGGCGCACCTCATGCTGGTACTTGCCACGATACTTCAAGCACTGCACGGGAACAGCAAGGCCAAAGCACGCACGGGTCGACGGTATCAGCAAAGCCAAAGCATATTCCAAACAAGCAATGCCGTGTTGTTGGTGGGCATGATGCAAACAAAAGCGGGCAGGGACGCTTGCGTAGCACGCGTTGGCAGACGAAGACCAAGAACCTGAGGCTGAGCGCGGGACCAACCTTGACATTGTCGGTGACTTTGATCACAAACTCCTCCTCCGGCTTTGTGAACTTGAGCAAGTAGCGCGTCTGCGGGGTCAAAGGGGTCGATCATTGAGCCGCCACCTCAACAAACAAAATCGCAACCCCACCGACCAAACTGCTAGGGTCAGACAGTCAGGCGACCGAGCTTGGAATGCCCAAGCCCGGAAGCCCGACTTCAAGCTCGAGGCCTACCTCGCGCGGTCGTTGCACAAAGAGGGCTTGCGCCTCCTCGCAAAACGTCGTCCACTCCTTCAAATACATGTTATTCTGCTCCCACCAGCCGCGCAGCTGGACGTGTCGTCAGATCCGCCTCGAACAATCGTTCACACGCTCCTGTGTGTGTACCTCGACTGCGGCTGCGCTGCCGTTGTTGGTCTCGTCTTTCACCTTGGTCGTTGCCCTTCGTCCTGTGTGATTGCCCTCTGTGACACGAGTGCACTTACGCCAAATACCGCTTGAAAACGCCAGATATCAACACAGTGAGAAAATTGTTACGCTTTATATTTCCATATTTGCTTTGGTGTTATCTGGCGTGAATTGAGCTGAGCGCGCAAACGCGGGATCACGTCAGAGCACGCGAGACGTTGGCCTGCGGGGGGTGGGCGCTGGATCGAGGGCTCCTGCCTGTGCTGGCCTGGACCGGGGCCCGTGTCACCGAGCCGGCGGCATTGCCTGGGTGTGCCGGGTAGAAGAGGGGCTTTTGTTTTTGGTGTCGAGGGCATGAATGGGGCTGGTCAGTCTGGTGGATAGCGCGATTGGGCCGAACGACTTGGCGTGGCAACGCTTGTGCTGCCCTGACCTCTGTGAAACTGGTGCCGTTGGGTGCCATTGGGTGCCGTTGAGTGCTGTAGGCGGGTTGGAGCAGAGCTGGGACCTTCAGCTGCTGCTTGAAGTGGCCGGGGCACAACTTTTCCAGCACACCAGTATGTGCCGGCATGGGCTGAGCACCAATGCGCTTCGATTTCCCGTGTTTACACGATGTCTGGTGTTGTTGTTGTCGCGCTTTGCTGCCAGGTCGGAATGTGGGCGGGCCATTGCAGCTGGAGGGGGACGTGCAGAGATTTGCAGAAACCTTGGCCCCGGCAGCAGCCACTGCAGTGGTGCGCGAGGAGAGCGTACTAAAGAGCGTAGTCGATCTCGATGCCGTGCGGCGCAATCTGCCGGCAGGGGTTCATACCAGCGTTTTTCTGGCCCGCTACATGCGCCGTGCGGACCTCGCTCAGTTTCTTGATCCTCTCCTGGGCCTCAAATCACCTTGGTGGAGTGACGCTGGTCGCACTGCTGCTTCGGTATGTGCCGATGGATAGGCTCGTACGGGTGAATCAGGGCATGTGTACGTTGCATGATTGTGCGTGCCTCAACCCAACTCCTGTCTAGGTACATGGCTCGGTGGTACAAGCACTCTTTCTAACCAAATCAGCCAAGCTCGCGCTGACGCAGGCCAACGAGAAGCAACGCAAAGGTACAGCATTGTGCATGCTGCTCTCCTGGCCAGTCAAAAGGGGTTTATAACGCATGGAGATGAGCCAGACACGAGGAGGAACAAGGGTAACTTTGGTCTCATTTTATGTGGCAAGCACCGCCTTTGCTCCTTTGACTAGACATTGTAACAAGAAACATTGCGTTTTTGCTGCCATGCGGCAAGAATCGTGTCATTGCGGCCATTCGCAGCCCAGAGGTTGCGGCTCAGCTTCAGCTTCTCAACCGGGTGCTTGGCGTGTATAATCTCAAAGCCACCTTGGTAACGCGCGACGTGCTACGCCCGCCCACAAGCGGGCGGTCCCACGAGAATGCCGAGCCTGGTGCATCCAGCACAGGCACTCCAGCCACGAGCATGACCTCAATTCAGCGCCAGGTCTTTGGTACGCCTCTCAACCATGGCACACAAGCGACTCGGTGCTGGGACGCACATATGATTCGTTTGGGCTAACGGCGCGGCTCGTGGTGACTGGGCGCGCCCATTACCTTCTTCTCGGGGCGTTTGCTAGAAGTGCAGTACGTTCCTCACTTGAACGAGGATCCGCAATTCCAGCAGCATGCTGCGCACGTTCAACAAGACTTGCTTGGCTTTCAGGTTCAGGTGAGATCAAGGCCCGTGCCCATGCCCTGGTCCCAATCCAACAACTCCAGCTGACCAAGCATGACCCTGATAGATCCAGCCTACTAGCCTAGTGGCCAGTGGCTATAACTCCGCGACATTCGGGGCCCCTACAGCATCGGCTCGCTTTGACGGCCCGTCTAACTCAACTTCAATCGCTGCCACCGCTGCTGCAGGCGGCGGGTACGGCAGTATACTCGCGAATGGTGCTCCTGCAGGTCCTTTGAGCTCTGCACCAAACAACGAGGAAAACTACGCCCAATCTCGAACCTACGCGCTTAGCGTGTTACGTCGAGCTCAGCAAGAACTACAAAAGCCGGGGGTGGCTGTGGCCTTGGATTCAGATCTAGACCACATGGGCCGCATGATCGATGCTGTCAGAGGTGTCAACCCCGCCTCGCCTATCCCGACCGATGTCCCCTTTACAGATCGCCCTTCAGCCGCTTTGGCCAGTGTATTGCAGCAGATTGTCCAGATTGCAGAAGGCAGGGAGCCCTGTGCATTTGATGGCCTGAGTCAAGGCACCATCTGGACCTGGGGCGTGCGGCTGTTACAAATGTTTCCACCCAATGGCAGCTGCGAGGCCGTTTCAAACAGCTAGTTGGTTGGCAAAGATTTTAGGTGCCTCCAGGCACGGTGTCGATGAGACAGGCACATTTGTCTGTGTGTCTCTGCCGTTCGAGAGCGTAAATAGAAGACTTAACATGTAAATGAACGTAGAAGTCAGTTTTTTTTTCTTTTTTTCTCTTTTTGATGCCGCCAAGAATTGACAAGAATTAAATTATCCGGTTGAGAGGTCTTGCAGATGGCTCCTTTCATCCAACTGAACCGATAGTGATCTTGTGGCATATCAATTACACGGGGTGGCACGGCAATCAGATGCGTTGCCCGGCCATGTATTGGGGCGCTTTGCCATTCTACTTTTGCTGCGTCATCCAATATGGTAGATTGGATGGGCGGGCAGCGGGCGGAGGCGCCAGGTTGGCATTGGTCGGGACTGGCGCACGGCCCGACATGTTCATGGGAGGGCCAGTAGGGTAGGCCCGACCAGGCGGCAAGCGGCCAGGCGACCGCGCACCCCGCGGGGGCATGCGTTCAGGTGACTGAGCGCCACGTGGAGGCATGCGATTAGGTGGCGAAGCCCCTCGTGGTGAGGGCATGCGGTGGCGTGGTGCCGAGTGAATGGGCGACATCGGTGCTTGACCTCGGCCGCGGCCAGGTGAGCGTGGTCCACGAGCTGGCGGTGGACTCCGTGAGTAAGATCGGCCACGGCCAGGTGAGCGTGGTCCACGAGCTGGCGGTGGACTCCGTGAGTAAGATCGGCCACGGCGAGGTGGGGGAGAGCGGCTCCGACTACGAGAGCGCGAGTAAGATCGGCCCGGCGGTGATCGCGAACGGGAAAACGAGCGGCGGTAACGACGACCTCCGCGTGGACTTGGTGGACCACGGAACCGCGAGCCAAATGGCGAGCGTGGGCGTCGGCCAAGAGGCGAGCGACGGCCGACGGGCGAACGGCTGCGGCTAAACGAGCGTCGGCGACCTCGACGCATGGGCGGCGAGCGACTGCGGCTACGGCTGCGACGTGCTGGCGCGCGTTCGCGTGCCTCCTTCGCCGCTTGGCGTTCACGACGCCGCTCGCCCTCCGCCTGCGCCTCAGCTTCAGAGTTGGGTAGCCAATAAAGATGGGGATGGGTCTAGCAGTTCGTTGCAATCACAGTGAGATCGCAGGGGCAGCAACGTGGGCTGCACTGCGTCGTCAGAACGATGACATACCTTGGTTTTGCGAAACAAATCATCCAAGAGCCCAACGACCGGTTCTTCCTTGGGTTTCCTGGGTGCCGCTGGGCGAGCTTGTTTGGGAGCATCAGCAGTCGGGGGCTCTGTGACACACACGGACACAGGCACAGACATGGCCATAGCAAGGTGAGCGGATTCGAGTCGGGTCTCTATCGGGTCCAACATCAAGAGGGCGCATTCGCGAAGCACATGATGCGGCGGCAACGCGCGGATGACAATCATACGTTCACGGTGTTGGGCAGCTGCGGCTGCTTGCTGTTCGGCCACTTGTTCCGCAAGTGTATTCGTTGCCTCAACTGTCACTCGGAGGTTCTAATTGCGTGCCATCGTCATGCCATTGAGCAAAAGGCCAGAAGGAGAGGACAAAGAGAGGGAGAGCCAAAGAGGAGAGAGAAAGGATGAAGAGAAGAAGAACGACTTGTGGTGTGTCCATCAAATTTTCAAGTCGTGCGCCAACAATTTCTAACCTGGCCGTGAATGCTGGGCCACTGCATGCCATTGAGTGCATCTGCGGTGGCACGCGCCTGCGCCGGCGTTTCAAACTGTCGGGCAAGTTTTGTGGGGTGAACGCATCGACAGGGCTGTCACAGGGTCACGAGCTCCACCGGGTCAAGGCGAGGCCGAAGTGAGTTGGTGCTTACCTTTGCAAAGCACCTTGAGCGCACTTTGTCAGTCATAAATGTATTGTCCAAGATGGTACCATGCTAACCGTGACCAAAAAAACACGGGCAGTGAATGAGTATCACCATCGGTACGCTGTCAAACACGTTTGAAGCAGGGATCTCTTTGAAGCACCCAGTCAGGGTCAGGATAACAGGTCAACATGCTGCTCATTCAAAACATGTGGCTGTGGCATACCTGACTCAGCAATTCCTTGAGTGCTATCAGCGTAAACGGGCGCTTGAGGTTGCGCACTTGAACAAAGCAGGGTCCAGTTTCGGCAGCAGGACCTGTACTATCCTCCGTGCCAGCATCGTTGTCTCGATTCATGGCACCGGGTTTGGGTTCTTTGACGTCATCCTGGCCGTCATCCATCGCCTCTGCTGGTGTGGGCAGGCTCTCTTGTACCATGGCCTAGAATGGTCGTGAGCAGCATGCCTGATGAGCGCACCACCGGGCCAGATCATCCTTTGAAATCAACTCGCACTCTCCGTGGGACGGGCACAATAAGCAACGGAATGAAGAATTGTGGCAACATGATCATACCTGAAGCGCGTTGGCATCAATCACGGCATCCTCAGCTGATTGCTGCCGTGCTTCGGTGCTTTGGCGCCAGCGGCGGCGCTTCGGGGTTGGCGCCCCATTCGACGCATCTGCAGAATCTGTTGATGTGGTCTGGGGCTACAATGAGTGGGTAGCAATGGGTTAGACCAAGCGACATGGTACCACGCCAATGTGCTCGGCCGGTGATTGCGAAAAAGCAGGGCAGGTACTGGCCAAGGCACGGGACCAACCTGAGGCTCCTTCGTTGCTGCAGCGACCGCGGGGGCATCGACGTTGGTAGAAGCCTGGGCCACGGGCTTTGGCTCGGCTGCTGTCACGTTACCGACGCGTTCTTGATCTGCTTCATCAGTCTTTGCGGTCTCCGACGCCGCAGGTGCGCTGTCTTCAGTGGTCGGCTCACTAGTGGCCTCAGCTGCCGCCTTGGTTGGCGCGCTCTCAGCCGGGGAGGACGTGCCATCTTCTCCAGCAGCCGTGCCTTCCGGCTCGTGCGTGCGCGCCTCATCCAAGCGCTCGACCAAATCGGCCTTGCGGCCCTTGACGGTGATGCCGCGGTCACTGAGCTCCTTCTTGAGCTGGACTACGGTCAGCTCAGACAAATCCTCAGGAAGCTCAGCCATGTTCTTTGGTGACAAAGAAGCACTCTATCACCAAGCACCAAGGCCAAGTCCACACTTCCACCTTGGGAACAAGCGATCCAAAACATCATGAGCCAACCAGCAAACCGAGCCACCCAGCGCCATTAAACCACCGTTCAATGCCCGCCAGCCAGTCGAGCCAGCACCCCTCCTCACCTATTCGTTCGTCTGGCTTCCGCTCTCTCGCTCTCTCGCTCTCTCGCTCTCTCTTCGTTCAAGATGAAGAAAAACTGCTTGAGCACCACGGATTCTGAATCATGGGCAAGGCAAAAACTCGGGCTTGGCTTTTGTTTTGGCACAAGTGTAACAAAAGTCAGTCTTCCGCTTATAGTAAAAAAATATTGAACCGGATGTCAGTCTCCTTTTGCAGATACGCGCAGGGGTCGATTGAACCCCCGCTGCCCTTTGCGACATCGACATTGAGTGCGAGTACGTGCCATGAAGGGAGGCTAGAACAAGCGTAGGCTGGTGCGGGGTGCATTTGTTTAACCATGTTTGCGCTCTGTGCTGATTCTGATCCATATGCTGTGTCTTCTTTTGTTGCAGGTCTGAGGCCGTTCTCTGTTCGGAACAGCCGCTGTTGGCCTCATTTGCGACCGAGTTTTGGTGCCCATACTGCCGCGATCGGAGCGATGGCCAGCAACACACAGACTCAGCCCATCTCGCCCTGGATCAAGTACGCATGTAGTGGGGTGCGCAGCTCATGACCCGCCAGTTTTCCACCTTATATCACTGTGCGGTGCTGTGATACCGCAGATACTCCACTGGCGCGTTAGCCACCATGACGGCCTGTTTGGTTAGCAATCCATTTGAGGTGATGAAGACTCGCCTTCAACTCCAGGTGCGAACCGTGCATCAGCATAGCATAGGATCGAGCTTTTTTTGACTGAACGATGGTCTTGTTCTGGGTCTCAATAACACACCTCAAGCCAAAATGCTTTGGCTCCAACTGACCAGGGGCTAGTTCATCTCATTTTGCTCAATGCATGCAGGGTGAGATGAAGGCAACAGGTGCCTATCAGCGTGCTTATCGCAACGTGTTTCACGCTTTTTATGAGGTCTTTCGAACCGAGGGTATCCGGTGTGTGGCCGCCGCTCGTGAGCATTGCACACAAACCTTTTGAGGCCTGGCTTCTACTCATCTGCTGCCCTTCTTCTATCTCCCAGCGGCGTCCAAGCCGGTTTGGGCATGGGCATTCTTTATCAAGGTTTGTACCGTGCCCTGTTCAAATGCAAGCGAGCGCGCTGGCCTTGATCATGGCCTGGTCTACCCGGGCCTCACGTTTACCTTTTCCGCTGAATGTGTCACTGGAATAGCCGCAATGAATGGTCCGCGCTTGAGCATGTACGACTACTTTGTGGATCGGCACTTTGAAGAGTTTAAGCGACCCATGACGCTACCTGAAAACATGCTAGCAGGTACGCGGGCCCAGCAGCTCTTGCTGAACCGCCGGAACATATCAAACCAGTGATGACCTCCTCCTATCTGGGCTGGGGCCATTCGCAGGTGCAACGGCAGGCGCGCTCTCGGCATTTCTGGGCAGCCCGCTATTCCTCGTCAAGACGCAACAACAGGCGCAAAGTGCCTCTGGTGTTGGCTTTCAGGTACCAGTGACCTGGACTGTGTGAACCGACTGCTGGGGGTGCAGAGCCAAGACCGCAAAGTGGAGTGGGATAGTCCATGGATGCTGACACGAAAAAAAAACTGTCCTTTCGTGGTTTTCCAGCATAAGCATTCATCCGCTTTGCAAGCCTTCCGAGCCATCATTCAGCAAGAGGGGGTCTTAGGTCTCTGGCGTGGCATTTTCGGCTCGGTGCCTCGCTTAGCCGTAGGCTCAATGTCCCAGCTCGTTAGCTATGGAAAGGTTTGTTCAACTCGCCTTTCAGCGCCGCCTCAAGAGTGGCCACGCTCGCCGCCTAGAGTGGCTACACACCGTCGTGGCATGTCCCGAGTCTAATGCTTCAAACCTTTTTTTCTCTTTCATTCTTTGATCTAATTCTGGCGAACAGGCCAAGACTTTTGTGACCGAGGCCTTTCCCAACTTGCAAGGAACCCCTCTGCATTTTTCTGCTAGTATGATAGCGGGTGGCTTTGTGGCACTGTGTATGAACCCCTTTGACGTCATCATGACACGGTACGTCGCTTTGTGACAGGCATACGCCAGCCTGGGCCTGCCTATTTGGCTTGTAAGTTACACGAATGTGTGTGCGCGCATTAGGTTGTACAACCAGCCCGTTGACCCCAGCACCAAGCAGGGCATGTACTATTCTGGCTGGTTCGACTGCATCAAGAAGACGGCCAAGGCGGAAGGTCCTTTCGGCTTTTACAAAGTTTGTTTCAGTATCATTGATGGTTTTGCTTCACGCTTACCAAAAGGAGCAAGTGTTGGCAAGTCGCCTGCCTATTGACAGCCTGGCTAACTCTTGTCTGGTCACTCGCAGGGCGTGACGGCGTTATACCTGCGGATTGGCCCCCATACTGTCCTGACCTTTGTCGTGTGGGAGGCACTCCGCAATTGGATCGGCGTCAAGGAGCTCTAGAAGTGGCCTCTGCACTTCTTTTGCCATCATTTTGCCCGGTGTGGGGTTGTTGTTGTTGTGGTGGGGCTGAACTGGGCAAGGGTGATGTCTCTGCCCAGCTAACAGAAACTCGAAAGTGAAATGAAATAATCGATGGATTGTCTCTGGAGTGGCTATGCCACATGCAATTTCAGTCCAGACGTGCAGGGGTGGTCATATTGGTATCCAGGTCTGGCGGGCTCTGCTGCCTACGGTTGATGCCCGCAGGCTCCATGATATCGGTATTCTGGAGTTGACGGACCATTGGGGCTCGGCCCCATGCCCACAGCTGTGCTTTGGGCATTGGTTCACGGCTCTGAGGCAAGAACGTTAAAAAAGTGGTAGACTTCATCGAGGTCATACATGGCCACAATGGTATTGCACTCGGTGCAATGAACGGGGTGAAAATCATCTTCCATATGAGCCGCTCCACTGGCTTGTACAGGGCTCTGAGCTGCATGCGCTGCGTTGGCGGTGCGCTTACCCGAGGCGTCCTTTTCCTGCACCTGCACAACCTAAGGGAGGAAGGACGAAGAGCCCAGCACCAAATGGGAAAAAAAATGGCATATGCTCTCTCAGCTGAGCTGGTCGAGGAGACGATGCTGTTCCTTCCACCAAAACCAGGCGTTGTGACTCACCTGGGTGGTATCCACCCGACAGTTGAGAACAAACATGGCGCGAAATTGGTTGGTATAAGCCTCATGGGCTTGACAATCAAGACAAAGCGTGGTCATACACGCCGGGCAGTTGAGAATCTACACAAAGGCGGGCCAACCCGAGACCAAACGTGAGGTTGCCGTGACACGTGGCATGGCGGCACACATCAAGCCGTTGCAGACGTACAGCATCAGACTCTGGAGCAGCTCGCACAGCGCGCTTTTGGTTGACGCGGCGTGCCGAGGCGTGTTCAGCTGCTTGCCGTTGATGTTCTGCGCGCAACTCTGGTTGTGTGCCAGGACGCAGCGACGCAAGCGGTCAGTCAAGACACGATGTGTGCAAGTCGAAGCAGCGAGGAGTTGGGGTACCAAACATGAGCTTGTGGCTGAAGAGCGTGACTGACCAAAGGGTAAATTTGCCGTGCGTTGTTCCGTCAGCCAACGTTGATTGTCGTCATCCAGGTCTGGGTCGTAGAACAACTCCTCGTCGGTGCGGAGCTAGGAGACGGGGGAGGGCCAGCAGAGTCGAGGGTGAATTGCAGCACGAGTACTCGACAGGCGACCTGTCTCTGAGGCACCGGGCCGCACCTTGCGTTGAGCACGCCGGTTCTCATCGGCATCAGCGTCGTCGTCGCTGTCAAAGTAAACATCATCATAGCGGTCTGGGTGACCTTCTTGTGTACCGGGGGGAGCATTCGCTTGGCTCTGACTTTGATGAGCGACCGATGAGCGGGCCACATCCACTTGCTGCTGAAGCTGAGCATCCAGCATAGCCTCAAAGGCATGCTTGCTACCACCGCCGTCCTTACGGGGTGGCATGACAGCGGTGCCTCGTCGCAAAGCCCGTCCGACCCCCCCTTAAGAACAGAGCACGAAAACAGTGAACCGCACGAAATAATCTGACAAAATGCAACTGGTGTGTGTGTGTGTGTGTA